AATAATTTGTGGACACATAGTCTACATTTGCTAGTGGAAAAGAAGCTATGGGATATTTAGGAAAGGAGAAATGATCCCTTTGGAACAGAAGCCCTCCCATGTTATGGTAGAGCTGGGTGCTTAGTGGTAATCCTGAGTAGTAACGGGTCCCAGCCTTGGGCACTTGTCTCTTCCCCACTTTTTATGCTTGTTTAGCAAACTCTTTTATTATAGCTAAAACAAAATTCAAACTTGAGGTGTGATGATGTAGGATAATAACTGGACTGTGTATCACGAGGTTGGTAGTTCAAACCCACCAGTTGCTCCTTGGAAATCCTATACAGGGTGGCTATGAGTCAGAACCAACTCAACAGCTTTTCACAACAATAACAACAATACAAAGCTCATATGAGCTTTGATCAATATCAAATCAGATTAATTTTTGTCTCTGAGTTTTGATCAATATCAAATCAAACTAATTTTTCTTATGTTGTTGTTAAGTGATTTTGAGTTGGTTCTCAACCACCGGTGTTTGGGTTAGCAGTCCAGTGTTTACAGTACAGTGCTACACCAGGACTTCATTTTTCTTAAATACCTTTTTAAACATTTATAAACTCTCTCCACCAGGAGTACTAAGTATTTGCTCATCAATATTGCAAAAAGCTAATTTCTATATTTCACTCCAAAATCTGTATACAGTTAGTTTGATAGGCTTGCACCAGTCAATTCAGAACCAAACAGTTTGTTACAGATAAAAGCAGTCACATTACTGGCTTATAAACTTTCAAGAGGGAAACTAGATCCAGAGGGTGTGAAGGAAGGTAGAATCTCCAGTGAGTAGTATCCAATCTGTCTAGGTGGAGCTGATGAAATGAAATGTGGATAGGTCTCTTGTGATACAATAGTGAATCATTGTTATCAGGACTGATTGTGAGGGTTGGAGATGTAAAGGTAGATGTTTTATAGCAAGGAGGGGAGTGATTAACTTTTCAGTCTAGGAGTGGAGGTCCCTTGGACCATGAAGGGAGAAGAACAGAGAGCAGGACCCTACCCAGAGAAGCAGTGATGCCTGAGATGGAGGCAGAGATGATGACATGAAGAGATGGAGCAGCTGGGGACTTTAGACCCAGACAGAAGAGGGGCTGTGTGCTGATGACTGGGGGCAGGCTTATAGAGTATACCCTTTGATTGGCTGATGATGCATGGAGGGGATTGAAACCATGGCAATGAAATGATATATGATAGGATGAATGTAAAACTAATGTTCTCCCGTGTAAACTATCACATAATTCACAATAAAACATTAAAAAAAAGTAGTCACATTAGCTGTTTATAGACATCTTTTTAATGTTTTACTTTAAAACAAATCATCTCAGTAAGAGAACAAAGTAAATGACATTGTAACCATCGCTTGAAATGGATATGATATTCCGGATTCATTTTTCAAGAAATAGATAATTGCATTGTTGTACAGAACTTTTAGAACTGCTCACTTAAACACACATAATTATATTAAATTAAGTTTCTCTTATAAAAACACAGCCATGTCATTTAAGGTAAAAAAACAAAACAAAACAGCTTCTGGGGTGATAAATTAATATTTATGATGTGTTTCTCAATATGATTGAAGGAAGTGATCCACTAATTTAGTTGACTAGGTTTCATCATTCCTTATAGTTTTATTTTGCAAGTGTGCCTGATTTCCTCCTCTCTGTCAGACTGACTTGTTTTACCTGCAAAGTAAGAGCTTGCACAGTTACTGAATCAATGGGAGGTGAAAAAGGCACCTTAAAACAGGCGATAAAGACTTTAAAATTCATTAAAGTGGCTTAATTTAAACAAAACTTGTGATCTACAGATATTAATTTAGTGGAACAAAATGAAGACATTTAGATCAGACATATTAAAAAATTTTAATTTGCTTCATACAAGGGACATTTGCAATTAAACGTTAGCTTGACCAACCCAACATATTAAAGAAGGCAGACAAACTTGAAATGAAAGCTCATGGCTTACCCGGTGCTCCTCTAAATTGTGCTTCAAGACACCGTTTGGATTGACCAATGGGACTTTGCCAAGTGCAAAAGAAAGACCCCCTCTCATCTTCACAGAGAATAACGCAACAGACAGAACTCTACAGTTTTCACGCAATACAACTCATTTAACATCCAACAATTTTTGTGCTGCAGAAAGGTAAACACAAAATAGCTTTAATGTATAAAAATTTTTTACAATATGGTTTATCACATTTTTCTATGATTAAGACTGCAGTGATGTGTTAAGTTTTACTTTTTGAATCTTCAGTCCTTAGCAGTATTGAATGAACTGCCTGTGGTTGAGGTCTGAAGAGGCCTATGGAGGGGTCCCTAATACATTCAGAATTCCTGCTGCCAGTGGGGCTCAGCTCAGGACAGTGTGCCCAAGAATCAGAGCTACCTGAAAGTTGGTGCCTCCTCCCTCAACTACTATTTGCGGAGAGTCCGTTTAGCGTATGGCAGATATCTGGTTTTAGGTCAGTGGAGGGGTGTGTGTTGGGTTTGTGTGTTTGCAGGTGTCTTTGGGAAGGTATTTCACTTTTGGATAAATGGAACCATAGGCAGATAAAAAAACTGCATTTAATAATTCACTTAATTTCTATATTTGGAAAAAGAAAATAATTGCTTTAAAAGCTTGACAAAATCTTTATAGCTGGACTCTCTCTTCTTTATCTCTTTAGTAGCCAAGAAGTCTTTGAGTGATACACTCCAGGGGAGGGTGTTTGGATGCAGGAAATGAGGTGAAGAAACACCATTTCAGTGCTTATTAAATGGAAAAAGGGTTTTAAAGGGTTGAGAAGCACATTTTGTAGAGAAGAAAACTGATTTACATGGGGATGGAGGCTGGTTAAAACCCGGTGCAGTTTAGAGGCAAAACAATAGCAGGTAACCAACGACATTCAATGGTGGAGAAAGTCTACACGGAGTCAACTCAGACTCATTGTAACCCTAGCGGACAGAGTAGAACTGCTCCATAGGGCTTCTGAGGCAGCCAATCTTTATGTAAGTCACAGCTTTCTCTCAGGGAGCGACTGGTGGGTTTGAACTGCTGAACTTTTGGTTAGCAACCAATTGCTTAACCCACTGTGCCATCAGGGCTCCTTGACATTTGAGAAGGATCTTCTTTGTATGCCCTCCTTCCTCTTTTGGACAACTGGTTTACATTCCTGCTGACTGCTAGAGAAATTTTACTGAAGGCAGCACTAATGCCTGCTAATGATCTGCTTTCTTGTGACTAGTTTGAGTGAGCTGGAATGAAGTGATAGCTCTTTTATCTTTACTTTGTTGTTGTTGTCAAGTGCTGTGGAGTCAGTTCTGACTCATAGGGACCCTGTATAGGGCTTCCAAGGAGCGGCTAGTGGGTTTGAACCTCCAACTTTGTGGTTAGGAGTACAGTGCTGATCCTACAGCGCCACACCAGGACTCCTTACGTTAGAATGCCATTACTTTGGCTGAAAGTCTAGTGATCTGAGATAGCTAGATTGGTTTCTATAAGCAGTCAGTATTGCTTACTTTCTGGTAACTATGCCTATCATTTTGTTTTGCCTTGATCTTTATGCTGCCCTGCTTTATTAAGTGTTTTGATTTGCAGACCCTGTTAGTGTTACTTGGCAGGGTAATTTCAGATTTGGGGAAACATTCTTGGGGCGAATAGAAAACATCCCCTATAGTATAAAAGTAAAGGAAGTTTACTTTTGAGGTTTATCTTTGAAGAACGGCCCTTCCAAACCTGGAGTACTTGGAATGTACTAAATGTCTTACAAGAGTCTGATTCCTGCTTCATTTTGGCTGACACTCTGCTTCTGCTTCTGAGTAGGTGACTCCTGACTGTTGATGTATAAACAAGGGAGGGGCAATTTGCCTTCAGGATTAACTATTATATCCTGGTGGGATGCTCTGGGCTAATGCTCTCGACTGCAAATTTGGCTTGAACCACAATGTCAGTGGTTCAAGCTCACCAGCAGCTCCTTGGAAACCCTATCCAGGGTTGCTGTGGGTCAGAACTGACTCAACGGCACTTAACAACAACAAGAAAGATGCTTAGACAAGGAGCTTGCCTAGGAATATGCGTAAGGGTTTATAGAAGATAGCCTATCAGAAGACCTTACTTTAGTTGCTGTTGTTAAGTGCCGTCGAATTAGTTAGCCAATCAGATTTTTTTTTGTCCTACTATAAGGATCTCTGGTAGCGTAGTGGTTACGAATCGGACTGTGAACCGCGAGGTCAGCAGTTCGAAACTACCAGCTGTTCCATGGGAGAAAGATGAAGCTTTCTGCTCCTGTAAAGATTTACAGCCTCGGAAACCCTGTACAGGGTTGCTATGTGTTGGAACCGACTCCACGGCACATAACAACAACAATTGTTTTCTGATATTTTAATTTTTACGACCTGCTTGATGTTTGACTAGTGGAACACTTTGTAACTGCCTGGATGCTCTCTGTGCTTCTCTGATTCAAGAATTGTTCCGTCACTAAATAAACTTATTTTGCTTTTACTTAAAGCAGACTCCATGATTTTGCTCTATGACCTTTCATATGCAAAATGTACTATATGATAGCAAAAAAAAATTAAGGACATATTTTAAAATGCCTGGCTCTGTGGTTTAATGTGCTGGACTGCAAAGTCAGCTTGAACTGCAAGATCGGCGGTTCAAGCTCACCAGCCCCTCCTCGGAAATCCTTTACAGGGCCGCTATGAGTTAGAACCGACTCAACAGCATTTAACATCAACAGCAGCATATAAGAATAAGGGATGTTTGTGTAGTTGAATTTCCTAGCAATACTTTTTTTTAACTCTAATTCTATCTTAGTTTGCTTCTATTTTAGTTTACCCTCTGAGGGGGAGGTTACCTTCTTTATATTCATTTACTTCTTGGTGTTGTTTCTTCATTCTTCTCAAGAATTTCCCATTTCAGTCCCACTCACATCTCAGATTCTCCAGGGTCCTGCCTATGTCAGGTTAATGAGAATAACTTTTCACACACCACTGGAGTTGGGATCAGTGCTGAGAGGTCAACCTAATCACATTGGCTGTTCTAGCAGTGGTTCTTCTGCTTTGTAAACTGACCGCTTACAAAGTTGATCCAGCCATCAGGGAATATGTTTCCATAAAGTTGTATTTGTCAGATAGTTTATTTGTCCCACTGACCTTGAATTTCATGATTTGCACATTTTCTAACTCAAGAACATTCTGATCTTAAGCAACGATATGAAAATGATGTGCAAAAGCACTTGCCACAGAGCTAAGTCACCAGAAGGACAAAAACCAACATTCAAATTACATTAATAATAAAATGACCGGATAGGAATGAATGGGCAAACATGTTTCAGAACAAGCAACCATTTCCATTACTCCCCAGTTCTGCTTTATTTTATACCTTGCTAGTCACTGTTGATAGCTGTTGCATTTAAATATACATTGTGGCCTAATTTTGAAAATGTAGTTTGTATTTAACCACGAAGTAGAAATGCCTAAAATTTCAAAACACAGTGTCAAATCTTGTAAACAAGCTAATCTTGGTACCTTCATACCCCCCCACCCCCAGCATTAGTAATGTTTGTTTTCTCAGAATTTTTAACTCCAGGTACGTTGTTAACTAAATGAATGGGCTAATGTCGATGTACCTTGGAATTTCAGCCATCCCTAAACATGCATTTTCATGCAATGAAAAGATAATGGGTTTATGACTGCCTTTCATGGTCATCCTGATTCTTGGAATTTCAACTGTTTGGAAGGGCTTTCAAAATAGTTCATGCAATGATATGTATGGCTAAAGGAATTGCTATGCCTAGAAAGAAAATGAAGAACTTATTTCAGTTTGACATGAGGCAAGCTGAGGGCATCTGTACTTTCTCCTGCCTTACAAATGCTTTGAGATGATCGTGATCTTCCAGTCCTTAGAGAGTCTGATGCAAAAGCAGCTTCCCTGGCAGGCTGCAACGCGGTATCAAAAGTGTCTGTCTCTGTCTCTTCGGGACCCACCTCTTCATCAGTTATAAACAATTTGGATTCTCTCCATTTGGGGTAGAAATCTTGGCTGCCTCTGGAGCCACTTGACTCACTCCCCGAAAGCTGTATATTCAATTCCTCTGTTGACCTGATCAGGTTTTGTACAGACAAAGATTTACCCAAGTCCTTCGGCACCACAGGACGGACGGACAACAGAGTTTCTCCTCCCATGTCAAAGCTTTTCCTCAGAGAACGGTCCTTGGTCAGACTTGACTGTGCAACCTGAACATTTTCCTTGGAGGCAACAAGGCAGGTGGTGACGTCAGAAATGCTTTCCTGTAAGCCTGTGGGGTTTGAGTGCAAGGGTTCTGGCCTGGGCAGATGCTTGATGGCTGGGAGAGGAGGTGGGATCTGTAAAGTTGTTGGGGCTGCTGGCTTGGGTGCCACATTTATTTGGTTTGCAATGTTGTTGGTGGCTGCCATTGAGGAGCCATCGCTTTGACTCATTGGCACCTGTGTTGCTTGACTGTGCATAGTAGGGCTAAGCGCATAGAAAGTCTGAGTGCTGAACTCATTTGGCGTTAGGATGAACTGCAGGCCCCGTGAAATGTTGGCACTAGCTGATCTAGATAAGCAGCCACTGTTTTGTGCAGAACTGGATAGGTCTTTGCTATCCACAGGGCTTTGATAGTCTGATGTCTGTTCACATTCAAATGGTGGGATCTGGAATGAAGCCAAAGTGAGGGCTGAGGCGGATCCTTTCCGGAGGACCTGTTGATATATGTCTAGTAGGCAGTCCAGTTTGGACTCAATAGACTGTACCTAAAAGTGGGGAAAATGATGACGCATGAGTATTGTTAACAATGGGCTTCACCTCTAGGATTTAAAAGTGACATCAAGGTGCATCAGTATAGTTCAATAAATATTGGATTTCAAGTATAATGCAGTTCTGACCTGTAGTGAATGAATGCACAGTATAGCAGCGGTGGGCAGAAGGAGAATTTACAGGGAGAGGGAAGCGCCAATGCCTATAGTCACCATCAGCAGCTCCTCCTTCTAACTCTTTCAAATGGACAATTGATGTTCTCAAAAATTGTATAAGCACTATGCAAATGCAACTTCAAGTCTCTCCACCCCAATCAGATTGTCTTTCCTAACACTGTTCTATGAAGACGTTCTGAACCTCTACTTTAGTAAGTAACTTAGCATATAAGGAAATTAAAATCTTAAATATCAATCAAGGTGATTCTGAACGTAAAAATTAAGGTATAAAATGTTTCAAAATGAATCTGTAGAACATTTCTGATTAAAATCAAGGAACTGTTTGATATCTAGAAAATTGTCTTTGTATTGAAGATAAAACCTCTTGAATGAACAAATATTAAATGTGCCATCATAATTATGATGAGACTTTGTATTATTTTCAAAAGGAGACAACAAAGACAATAATGGAAATAACCAAAACACACATGAAAAAGATGAAGATGTCTTGGTTATTACATTAGTGAAAATCTACAATTGTTTCCAGTTCAATTATTAATTGATGAGATGAAATTGTTTGTTTTTTATGTGGGCATCCAAATGTGTTTTAGAGAACACTGTCTACACACAAAGATTTCACTAACTCCTTCTTGATTTTTTTCTTTATAAAATATATTAATCACTAAGATGAATCCAATTGTCTATACTATATTTTAGTTTAGAAATTCTGGCTAGAAAGTTAACCAGTGTAGTTGAGTTGTACCTGCTTTTCAACCTTGACTACCCGACCAAGCATACTTAAGTCATCAGTGGTCTCGTGTTCTGCTGTTATTTTGTCTCGGCTCTTCTTGTCTGATGTGATTTGCCCTTTTCCAAGAATTTGATCAACACTGTCAGAAAAGAAGATCTGGTTATGAGTGCTGAAAATTGAATGGAGTGTTTTGAAAATAATTTAATATAGCTATCTTTAATTTGGGCATCCTGGTGTGGCACTGTAGGATAAGCACTGAACTGCTAACTGCAAGGTTGGCAGTTCAGATCTACCAGTTGCTCCTCAGAAATGCTACACAGAGTTGCTATGAGTTGGAACTGACTTTATGGTACCTAATAACAACATCTTTAAATTTTATTATTGAACAATGTCATTAATACCACATGCAAATAAAATTTTGTTAAAAGTAACTAAAAAATGGTTGTAACAGTATTCCAACAGGAAATGGTCAGGAATTCACATCAGCTTCAGAAAAGGATGTGGAATGAAGGATATCACTGCTGATGTCAGATCAATGTAGGTTGAAAAAGAAGAGAATAACAGAAAGATGTTTACTTGTGTTTTATTGATAATGCAAAAGCATTCAACTGTGTGGATCATAACAAACTATGGGTAACATTTTGAAGACTGAGAACTCCAGAACATTTAATTGTGCTTATGAAGAACCTGTACATAGACCAAGAGTCAGTCTTTGGAAGGAAACAAGGGAATATTGTATAGTTTAAAATCAGGAAAGGTGTGTGTTAGGATTGTATTCTTTCACCATACTTATTCAATCTGTATGCTAAACAAATAATCTGAGAAGCGGAACAATGTGAAGAAACATGTGGCATCAGGATTGGAGGAAGATTCCCTAACAACCTGCGATGTGCAGATGACAAGAACTTGCTTTTTGAAAGTGAAGAAGAACTAAAGCACTTGCTAATGAAGGCCCATTTAGGAACTCCCATTTAGTATCTGCTGTGGGTTAATGTGCTGGACTGCAAAGTTGTTTTGAACCACAATTTCAGCAGTTCAAGCTTATCAGCTGCTCCTCAGAAACCCTACACAGTATCGCTATGGGTCAGAAATGACTTGGTAGCACTTAACAACAACAACATATAGCATCATACTGGACAAGAAAGAAGGGAAGGGCTCAGTCTTAGTCAAGAGCAAGGAAAACTTACAGCCTTCAATATGGATTATACTTCAACATAAAATAAAAAAAAAATCCTCACAACTGGACCAATAAACAACATTAGGATGTTGTTAAGTGTTGTCAAATCAGTTCTGACTCATAGCGACCCTGTATACGGTTTTTGGGGCTTTAACTATTCACAGGAACAGAAAGCCTCATCTTTCTCCCAAACATCACAATAAATAGAGAAAATATTGAAGTTGTCAATATTTTATTTGAATTTACAATCAATATTCATGGAAGTAGCAGTCAAGACATCAAATGATGGATTGGGCAAATCTGCTGCAAAATATCTCTTTACAGTGTTAAAAAGCACAGAAGTCACTTTGAGGACTTAAGTGCATCTGACCCTAGCCATGGTATTTTTAATTGCTTCATAAATATGTAAAAGTTGGATAATGGATAAGGAAGATCAAATTGATACCTTTAAATTATGGTGAAGAATACTGAATATATCATGGACTGGCAAAAGAATAAACAAATCTGTCTTGAAAGAAGTACAACCAGAAGGCTCCTTAGAAGAGCAGATGACAAGACTTCATCTCATGTGCTTGGACATTTTATCAGGAGGGGCCAGACCCTGGAGAAGGACAAGATGCTTGGTAAAGTAGAAGGCAAACAAAAAAGAGAAAAGAAGAAGAGCCTCAACTAGATGGAATGATACAGTGGCTACAACCTTGGGCTCAAACACAGCATCAGTTGTGAGGATGGCACAGGACTAGGCAGTATTTCATTCTGTTGTGCATAAGATTGCTATGAGTCAGAACTGAATGAATGGCACCTAACAACTAACAACATCATTGATCTATATAAGGTGATGTAAAGATAGATTTGGTCCAGTTGGTGGGCTCATTTTTTTAGCATGAGAATTACACGTGACATTAACATTTTCATTCAGGCACATGATAGCTTATAGGTGATCTTTTGGAGGCAAAACTGTCATCAGGTAATTTCACCTTTGACCAGACAGTCCTGACTTCAAGTACTTTAAAATATGAAGAAATCACAATTGTGATTATTTTGTAGTTTCAAAAGAATGGTTTATTTAGTGTGCGTTTATTGCACATCTGACACATGGGAGGTATAAAAAGAAAGAGTGTCTGTCTTGTGGAATTCACTATCTAGTTGGAGGATGTACACTTCATGAACTAGAAACTTCAAATTTGTTTTATAAATTCTGTAGCAGTTCAACCTTGGGAGCCAAAGACAGTTTTATTAAAGGACTTAGAAAACCAAGGTCACCTCTAGAGAGGTTGTAACATGACCACAGGATGACTAAAGACAATTTTTCAAGGAGATTTGAGTCAGTGTAAATAGGCATTACTTTCTTTGTGTGTTCTAGAACTCAGTTATCAGGTTGACTGACTCCCCTTTCCAGTTTACTTTTGTCTACATAGAAATGTAGACAGTGCTGGCCTTCAGCTGTGATTCTTATTTATTATACTGTAAGCATTATAGCTGTTCCACAGGAGAAAGATGAGGTTTTCTGCTCCCGTAAAGATTTACAGCCTTGGAAACCCTGTACAGGGTCGCTATGAGTCAGAACCGACTCCACGGCACATAACAACAACAACAACAACAAGCATACAAGGAGTCCTGGTGTGGCGCTGTGGGCTAATGCGTCAGACTGCAAAGTCATTTGAATTGTATGGTCAGTGGTTCAAGCTCACCAGCCGCTCCTTGGAAACCCTATACAGGGTCGCTATGGGTCAGAATCAACTTGACGGCACTTAACAACTTAACTACTGGTGTGGTGCCTTGGGTTAATGCACTGGACTGCAAAGTTGGTTTGAACTGCAAGGTCGGTGATTCAAGCTCACCAGCCGCTTCTCAGTGATTCTACTCAGGGTTGCTATGAGTTGGAATCGACTTGACGGCAGTTAACAACAACAAAGGCCTATAAGACCTGCCTAGCACACATCACAAGCTCAATAGTAATCTGCTGAATAAATGAATGAACAAATGGTAATTTGTATAAATGATCATAAAGACTTTTTATTAAGGGTCTAGAATAGGCCTCACACTGGACTAAGTGTGCTGTGGGAATACAAAAATATTTAAGACTCACTCCTTCCATTTTAAGAACTATTAAATCATTAATGCAGGTAACTTGTGAATCAAGACTCTTAAAAACCTAAATTGACTAAGTATTTTGGCTTTAAGACAACACAATCAACCACATGTGGTTGGAATTAGCCCATTGAACCCCAAAGTGTTTTAATAGCTCAATAAGATGCCAGTGGGAAGGGTGGTGCATATTTAGTATCATAACTTAACCTAACCAGTGGCTGTCAGTGGATTCTGACTTACGACAACTCCAGTGTGGCAGAGTAGCACTGTGCTCCCTAGGGCTTTCAACAGCTGAATTTTAAGAAGTAGATCACTAGGCCTTCCTTCTGAGATGCCTCTGGGTGGACTCAAACCTCTAACCTTTCAGTTGATGGCCATACACGTTAACTATTTGCACTACCTTGGCTGTTTATGTGCCACGGAGTTGGTCCTGACTCATAGCGACCCTGTACAGGGTTTCTGAGGCTGTAAGTCTTTACAGGAGTGGAAAGCCTCATCTTTCTCCTGTGGAACAGCTGGTAGTTTTGAACTGCGGACTTTGAGATAAGCAGCCTGACTCATAACTACTACACCAACAGAGCTCATTTTTGTACAACCTATCAAATCACATTTAGCATCATACAGGACAAGAGAGAAATCAAGAGCAACAAGACACTCTTGAAGCCAGGACACACTGTGAGAGCCAACCACTCATTCTCAGTCTCAGCTATCTGACCCAGCATGTCAGAATTGAATGATTTTAGGCTCTGTAAAACACAACAAAACAACCCAAGCCAGTTGCCATAAAGTCAATTCTAATGCATGGTGAGCCCATGTTTTCTGAGGCACCTCTTGGCGGATTCAAACTACCAACGTTTCATTCAGTAGTTGGGTTCTTAAACATTTGTGCCACCTGCAAACCACTCATGTTCTGTATTGTTGATGTTGTGTGTCTTTGAGTTGTTTCCAACTCATAGCAATCCTATATGACAGAAGAGAATTGCCTCATAGTGTTTTCCAGACTGCTATCTTCATGATAGCAGATCACCAAGTTCTTCTTCTCCTGTGGAGCAGCTTGTGGGTTCAAACGGACAACCTTTTGGTTAGTAGCAAATTGCTTTACCACTGCACCACCAGGGCTCCTTTTTATGCTCTATAACCCAACCCATTGCCACTGAGTTGGTTCAGACTCATCTCAACCCTATATGGGGTTTTGAAGAGTATACATCTTTATGAGAGATGCAGGGTGACTGGTGAGTGTGAACTGCTGACCCTGCTGACCCAATGCCTAACCCACTCTAAATACGGTACGAGGACAGAGAGGGCAAGCAAGGCCTGATGTGTGGGCTGGATAGTTGGGGAAAGTTTAATGAAGGAGAAATACGAGCTTGTTTCTGAAGGATGGTTAGGATTTAGAGAATCATAAAAGGAGTAAGAGCAACAGCAACAATCATGCAAAAGATGTAAGCAAGAATCACTCATATTTATAGAGCACTCAGTGTCAGATTTATTAGGTGTTCTTAGTTATGTATATTAACTCATTTAATTCTCATGACAACTCTATGAAACAAGCACCAATATTGTCCCCATATTTACAGATGAGGAAACTGAGACAATGTATTGTTAAGTGATGTTAAGTTAGTTATGATTCATAGTGACACTGTATAGGTTTCTAAAGAGCAGTTGGTGGGTTTTAACTGCCAACCTTGTGGTTCACAATCCAATGTTTATTCTATAATTCCTACCAATATGCCATATATTGGAGGCTTTTAATGCCTGATTTTCATCCTTAAGTAAAATCTATGTTAAAAGCAAAAGTCCAGCTGCTCACTAAAAATGAATTAGAATGGAATTAGAAGAGGAATATAGAATTCAGAAAATTTCTCTACTGCCTTCTAGTTTCTAAGCCCATTCCATTACAAAAAATAACATTTTCACTTCTTACCGTGTTTGAAGGCTTTTAATTCTACACAACATATCCAGATGACCAGCAGAATATTGTTCAATGACATCTTTTACATCATAGGGGCGTAATGTTTCCTTAAACTTGCGTTTTGCAACATGAAATTTCATAATTCTGGAAGAGAAACATACTAACATATTAATCATCTTAGTTTTACTAGAAGAAATAGCTGACTAAAACATAAGAAACTCTGGAGGAAAAGTAAAAAAGCATCAAACTGTTTTATGCTCCTACAGAAACACAATATTTTTATGTCATTTTATGGTAGATAGTTTAAGAAGATCTCATGTAATATTCACTTCGAGATTAGAAAATCACACTGAAAAAGAACTAAGCATATTTAGTAAAGGGTTGCACCTTTTGAACATCCATTGGAACCCTGAATTAAAATAAAAAGTTAAAATGCAATTCTAACTTTTACATGTACTCTTGAAAAGTCAACGATATAACCTCTAGTGATAACCAAACTAAGCCCAAAAAAACAAACAAATCCAACCTTTTGTCACTAAGTGGATTCCGACTCATTCCTTAAAAAAATATAAAGATTATTGAAATGTTTTAAATGTAAATGTAACTATATGCATTTTGGAGTCCTGGTGTGGTACTGTGGGTTAATGTGCTGGACTGCAAAGCTCACCAGCCTCTCCTTGGAACCCTATACAGGCTCTCCATGCGTTAGAACTGGCTTGACAGTACTTAACAACAGCATGTGTTTCAGAGATGCAGATGTTTGTGAAACTCTTATTTTCTTTAGAGAAATGTAGACCTGGATAGAAATTTAAGAATTTTTTTCCTCTTACAATTTCTACAGAATACTGCTCGATTAGCTCACCAAGTTCCCTTTGTTTTAAATTAACAGGGATTGTGAGTGCCTAAACGTTTCAGAACAAGAGATGTCTTTTATTTCAATGCTTTCCCAACACGGATCCCACATTTTAAAAAAGTATTTTGCAGTAAGTTCCATGATATTATAGTCAATCTGCCTAAAATAACCAGTTACTGTTATCTGTAACATTCAATATGTAATAACTTGATATGATTCCTGATGAAAGCAAAGAAGCATAATATTTTAGTCTGTGCATCCTTAAAATCTATTGTTTTTCAACTTTTAAAAGGCTCATGTTGTTGTTGTTAAGTGCCATTGAGTTGATTCTGACCCATAGCAACCTAGTATAGGGTTTCAAAGGAGCAGCTGATGAGCTTGAACCACCGACCTTGCAGTTCAAACGACTTTGCAGTCTGACACATTAGCCCACAGCACCACACCAGGACTCCATAGACTCCCATAATTCCTGGCATATAGTAGTTGCTGGAGAAATATTTGTTGAGTAAGAGGAAGAAAGAAAGAGCAAAAGAATAGTAAAGGTCCTCTAATCTGTGTAACATTAAGAATTAAACCAGTAATACAGCTAATGTGACAGCTCAGAACCCTCCCTTGCTTATATTCAAAATACTTAATGGTGTCTGCATGGAGAAGAAAAAAAAACAAAGCTATCTGTATGTAACCCAAAGTGAGTTTTAAATTGCCTTGGTGCCACATTGGCTAAGTGATTGTCTGCTAACTGAAGTCATTGGTTTGAACTTACCAGCTGCTCCATGGGAGAAAAGACCTGCTGATCTGCTCCCGTAAAGATTTGTATACAGCCTAGAAAACCCTATAGGAACCCGGGTGGTGCTGTGGGTAGGGCATTGTGTTGCTAACTGAAAGACTGGTTATTCAAATCCACCGATTGCCCCTTGAGAGAAAGATGAGTCGGTCTAATCCCATAAAGGTCTACAGTTTCGGTAACTCTCCACAGTCACTGTGAATCAGAAACAACATGATGGGCGTGGGTTTGGTTTTTGGTAGGAAGCCTTTATAGGGTAGCTTTCCTCGGCCCTGTAGGGTTACTAGGAGTTGGAATCAACTGAACAGCACACAATAATAACAGGTGGGTTTCTTGTTGTTGCTGTGTGCTCATTAACATCAATATATCATTTACTGAGCTACATTTGCTATGTACCTTGTGATGTACTTTATGTACCTATGCTACATTGTGATGTACTTTAAATATCCTATCTCTTACCATACAGAGCTCAGTGGCTGTACAATAAGCACCGGGCTGTGAACTACCTGGGAGCCTAGTTCAAACCCACCAACTGCTCCTCAGGACAGAGATGAGGCTTTTGGATCCTGAAAAGATTTACAGTCTTGGAAGATTTACAGTCATTATAAGTTGGAAGCATCTAGACAGCACTTAATAACAACAATCTCCTCAACAGCATTTGATGAGTCATTCTTAGTTCCATTTTATATTTAGGGAAATTGAAAACCAAAGAAGTTGAGTGATTTTTCTTACAACAAGTAGTATGAGGCAAAGTCTGGATCCCACCCAGATCTGTCTGGTTCTCACTCCTGCAACACTCGAAGATGTTTCCACCTTCATATATTAGCTCTGAGACATTACCTTAATCAGTTTGGGTCAGCCCCAGGTGTTTCCACTTTACTTAACTGGTATTAAGTGTTAAACTTTACTTAACTGGTATTTTCCAAGCACACGTTCTGTGGAGACTTCATAATAGTAAAACCAAGAACCTCTGTACCTATTACAAAGGAGGGAAAGGACACGTAGCCTGTTCATAATTTTGTCCTCCTTCGAAAGGACTCACTTTTTCTTAAACGACAACTTTCTAGAACCTATTCATTTTCCCCAATTAATTTTCATAGCTTTTACTTAAAAAAACAAACCCTGTTTATTGTGAATTGAGTGAAGGTTTACAGACAAGATTATCAGTTTTACTTTCAACAAATCATGTACTTCATTTCATCTCAATAACTGCAAATCCCTCCATGCAACAGCAGCTATCCCATTTCTTCCCTGTGGTTCTTATTTGCATTTCACCCTCCTTCCCATCCCTTCTCAACTTTGTTCTTAGGTAAATGTTGCCCTTTTGATTTTGAATGACTGTTCATTTCACAGTGAGCATACCTTACTAGTGTTGTTGTCCCTCCTATATTCCTATCCACTGCTTGGCTGAAAATTGGGCCACAAAGCTGAGTTTCTTTCCAGACCTGAAGTGGTTTCGAGGGCCATAGTCTCAAGTTCCTCCAGTCTCTTTCTGACCAATAAGTCTGGTCTGTTGCCAGTCATGATTTTGTGATGAATTTCTTTTATTCATTTTTTATAACTAGTCACATATTTGTGAATCCGGTGCATATCAATATGGCCTAATGCCTATGCTATCCCTCATCTAGATGGTTTGTGTTTGTTTTTGTCTTGCTTTTAATTCTGTTTAAGACTTAATAAAGGGGTCTCTCTCTACTAAATCTTAAACAGGATAAAGGCAAGACAAAAAAAGCACAAATGATCTAGGTCAGAAACCATCAGCATTAGGCCATACTGGTGTCCACTGGATTCACAAACATGTGACTAGTTATAAAAAATGTGTTTGTCGTTTTTTCGTACTGTAGGGGCTTGGGTGTTGCTGGGATGCCGGAAGCTATGCCACTGGTGTTTCAAATATCAGCAGGGTCACCCATGGTGGACAGGTTCCAGACTAATAACAGACTAGGAAGAAGAAATACACAGTTCACTTCTGAGGGATGAACCTCTGAGAACCTTATGAATAACAGTGGAACATTGTTAGATACAGTGCTGGAAGATGAGCTCCTCAGGTTGGAAGGCACTGAGAAAGATATGTCACTTCAAAGTAGAATTGATGTGGATGGAGCAAAGCTTTGGGCCTTTCATTTGCTTGTGGGAAACAACTCTAAATGAGAAAAAATAGCTACAAACATCCATTAATAATCAAAACATGAATAAACGAAGAATCTAGGGAAACTGGAAGTTGTCAGAAATGCAATGGAATGAACAGAGATCAATATCAATAAAATACTTTTGAATTGGGTCTTTTCTCCCCTAAAACACAATGGAACTGTAACAGGGAGTGCTAATTATACCTCTGCCCTAAAACAGAGGGCTCTTTTGCCTTCTGTGGATTAAGAATCGTCAGGAGAAGCAGAGTTCCCATATGAGCAAACGTTTATTATAGGAAAGAAGCTTGCAAGCGGGGACAGAGAGGGCTTTAATATGAAGTCTAACCCCCAACTCCCTGAACAAAAGGCTTTGGTTATGGTGTGCCGTGGAATCGGTTCTGACTCATAGTGACCCTGTATTGGGTTTCCAAGGCTGCAAATCTTTATGGGAGCAGAAAGCCGCATCTTTTCCCCCAAAGAATGGCTGGCAGTTTTGAACTGCTGATTTTGAGGTTAGCACTCAACTTATAACCACTACGTTATCGGAGAGTTTTAGGTGAGGAAAAGGTATCATGTTTATTCATAGGAATAAGAGGAGATTTGGGGGAAGTGGCCTATTTAGGGGGAGCTATGTTCATTGGGTAAGGAGATCAGTAGCGTAGTGGTTACGAATCAGGCTGTGAACCTTAAGGTCAGCAGTTCGAAACTACCAGCCGCTCTGCAGGAAAAAGATGAGGCTTTCCGCTCCTGTAAAGATTTACAGCCTTGGAAACTCTGTGTAGGGTCACTATGAGTTGGAACCGACTCCACGGTACACAACAACAACAAAACCCTGTACAGGGTCAGTATGGGTCGGAACCGACTCGACGGCACTTAACAACAACATGTACATTGGGTGTATGTGCAGCATTTCTTCAAGATGGACTGCAAAGGCTTCTGCTCGTTAAGTGCTCTCAAGTCAGTTCTGACTTGTAGCTACCCTGTATAGGGTTTCCAAGGAGTGACTGGTGGGTTTGAATTGTTGACCTGTGGTTAGCAGCCAAGTGCTTATCCTACAGTGCCATACCAGGACTCGGCTTCTGTTGTTGTTACTAAGTGCTGCTGAGTCAGTTTTGATTCACAGGTTTCCCAGGAGCAACTGGTAAACCTTGCAGTTCAAACCAACCATTCAGTCCAGTGTTTATCTTACAGTGCCACACCAAGACTCCTGCTTCTGTTGTTGTTGTTGTTGTTAAGTGCTGTTGAGTCAGTTATGAGTCATAGCAACCCTGTATAAGGTTTCCGAGAAGTGACTGGTGAGTTTGAACCATCAATCTTGTGGTTCAAATAGACTTTGTGGTCCAGTGCTTTTCCTACAGCGCCACACCAGGACTCCTAC